TCTGCATGGTTGTTAATGCTTGTGAAAGGGGTGAGGAAGAACAAATAGAAAGATAGGCTTTCTAGGTTTTTTTGTAAAGCGGTACACTGTGCACATTGCCATTTCTCTATTCTCTCTCGCTGCAAGGTTATCAAAAATCATATAGTAAATACCTTAATCTAAAGAAGATTAGAAAGGTGAATAGAGCTAATTATACACTGCTTTGACTATTTCCTTTTTTTATATCATAGTTGTTCAAGACGTAGATACTTATGTCTTACTACTAGAATACTAAAGCATGCATTATTTCTATTAACGCTGCTGCTTATATATTAAATTAGCATTTAAAGGAGTGTCTAAAAAAAGAATGTGTCCTGTGTAAATGATAAAGCATAATCACACAACGAGCACTACAGCGCAGCTTTAGAACCAGAATCTTACCAGTACCTAACATCTTTCTGTCTGCTGCTTCTCTGTTTTATTTCCTCTGCCTGCCCCCAGAGGGGGAACTAGGTTGTATTTTTTATTTACTGTTCTTTGATTTGTAAAAAATAGCTTTTTAAATTACACTGTAATTGCATACATACATTAATAGTTTTACTAAGTTTTGCCTAGTTTTTAGTTTTGAAAGAACAGTGTCATGGGATATGTAATCTTCTAGGACTTGCTTTTGTAGTTAATGTTTCATTTTTAAGATTCAGCCATGTTGTTTGGTATAGAAATAGATCATTCATTTTTGTGCTGTATGCTGTCCCATTATATGCATGAGCCTCAATTTATTTTATTTTCAGTGAATATTGAAGTTGCTTTAGTTTTTCCATTATGAACAATGTTGCTATGAACATTTTTATTCTTGTCTCTTGGTACACACCTGTAAGAGTTTTTTCCTAGATTATAAGAGGGGATTTTGTTGGACCCATAGGGTGAAATTCAGTTTCATATAAGAGAGCTCCAAATTGTTTTCCAAAACATTTGTATTAATTTATACTCCATCAGTAGTGCTTAAGACATCTTCTAGATCCCATATTGATCAGTATTTCACATTTTCAGACTTAACTAATTTTTGTCAACTTTACTGAGCATAAAATATTTTATTATGATCTTGATTTTTATTTCCTTCATTTCTAAAGAGGATAAACATCTCATATACTTATTAACCATTTGCAGTTCTTCTTCTGTGAAATCACTGTTCACATCTTTGCCCATTTTTATGTTGTCGGTTTTTTCTAATTGTTTTATAGTTTTTGTTGTTGTTTTTGAGACAGTCTCACTTTGTCATTCCTGGTAGAGTAACCTGGCATCATAGCTCACAGCAACCTCTAACTTTTGGGTTCCAGCAATGCGCTAGCCTCAGCCTCCCAAGTAGCTGGGACTACACATGCCTTCCACAATGCTGGGCTTTTTTTTTTTTTTTTTTT